CCAAGCGACGAAAGCCCAATCCCGATGGTAAACACCGAGGGGAAGAGGGAAGGGGGAGAGGATTTGTCGATGTTAAAGCTTCCTGTCAATCTCTCTGCCACAACTTGTTTCTCCCTTTAGGGGCTGCTGGGGTGTAGTCGCGCCGGAGCTGCGGAGGGTTTGTCGCTGTTTTGGAGCCACCGACAATGGTAAGGTCCTACCGAGGGCACCATCCCCGTGCCTCGCATGAACATATTTTCGGGCGATGTTTCGACCTCATAGATGACTATCAAAGCAGCCACTTGGTCGTTAAGGATCCTCGGTGTACGCGTAACTACTGTAGGCTGTGTGAAGGGTATCGCACTGACCAAACGAGCACACAAACGCCTTTAACAATGTTATCGAAATAACGCCTTATCCAACGTTTGGACCGATACGCACCACAGCAGATATGCGTTATTTGTAGGAAGTTAAGGCATTTCTCACTCCGGAGTAGACGTTCAGCACGATTTCGAACCGTTGGCTGTATGCAACGTCTTGGCGTCAATAATGTATGACTTCTGTCCGAAGGCTTCCTCTTCTCACCGTGCAACCTTCCCCTGCTGCCCGAAGCTCGACGAAGGCTGGGCTAAAGTGCGGCCGGTCGATTCGGGATAGCGGCGACGCTACTGGCTGTGCTTGTCCCGCGCCGCTTTTGTCTTTGAATGTATCCGGAATGTGCTTGGAAAGAACGGTGCGTTGCTGAGATTGGTGGAGCCCAAGCTCGGTCAGAATAACTGCCAAAGGGACAGAAAGTGAAGAGAAGTCGGTCATTGCCGAAAAACTTCCAGACGCTGCACTGCGGTGCTGCGACGTGTACCGCTCCAACACCACGTGTGCGGCATCTGCGGGGTAAGGCGATGCCATTTGAGGTAAGCCTGTGTGCGCAAAAGCGATAGTTTTGTTGTCTTCTTGAAGCGAGGAGAGGAGTATGAGGCATCGCTTTCGAGGGGCGACAGTCGTGCGTGCCTAGTGTGAACGATGCTAAGGTTTTTGTCTTGCCACGGAACCATATCATAACAAAACAGAGAGTCGCTAGTTGCGAGAGACAAATTGATACTAACTGCGCTACTAATAGCACGCCACCACCTTCTCTTCGCGCGCTCGCACGGCCCTACTCTCTGTTTGCATTTCGGCACCTTCCCATATCCCTGCAAAAGACAAGACAACTAATTAGACGGGATCCGGTAGGGCACTCCGAAAATAATCTCGCCGGCATTCGTGTTACCTGTGAGCCATCGATTTGACCAGCCTTCGTCGAGATGGGCGCTGTTAGCACCTGAGCCGCCACCTCGTAAACGTCCTATACGTCTCTTGTGTTTTTTGCCCCGGTGTTCCTTCTGACGAGAGTTTTCCAAAAAAGTGGAGCAGCTGTGCTTCTTTGTTAATCCATTGGAGAGATCCACCTTGTCCTTCTCCTCGTCTTCCTCTTCCTCCTTTGGCACCTCTTCCACTGTTGCTTCGCCCGGTAGTTCGTCATCACCTACTGCTGCTTGTTGACTCTCGTCATGGCATGTCTCAGTAGTTCCCAACTCTGGTTTGTTTCCTTTCGGAGATGCCGGTGGACCGCCGCCATCGCTTTGGCTACTACTGCTGCTGCTATAGTCCGAGCTGCCCTGGATGGCGCCCGTTCCGTCGTAAAAATCAAAACTGTCCCCACTGCTCGTGCTTTCACCAGAAGAAACACCCCGCGATGACGGGGTGTCGGAACTGCAACCAGATTCCTCATCCTTGTCAGACGATCCGAGACGTCCAAAAACTGGCGTGGCGTCCGCATATCTGTCGCAACCACCATCATTCCTCTGCTCCTTAGGATCATCTTGCTGATCCCTCGCCGTGCTTCCAAGGCCCTCCTTTCGTGGGCGAGTCTCGCGGACACCTGTGGTACCCTGTCTACCGGGAGAACGCTTCGCCGGTAATGTCGGTCGACGGCGTCCTCTTTGGCGTGGCACAACTGGGATAGTGGTGGATGATTGCCTTGGAGGTGGGCGCGGGTCAATGCGTGTGCCTGTCGTAGAAACATGCCCGCGCCGTGATCCTAACTGTCCGCCCTTTTCCGATTCTTCGCGAACGACGTTCTTGCAACATTCTCTTGGTCTTAATCGCGTGGTCGGGGTGCGTGTGGCTCCGGCAATTTCTTGGGTGACCTTTTCCGCAGTAGAGTGTAAAACGAGGGGAGCCGGGTAGGTGGTCACCGATACATTCGCTTGCACTCCTTGAGCACAAAATTGGATGCTGTCCTGCATAACCTACAACAAAGCATCGTTATTGAAATGTCACACAGTAGAATTGTGGCTAGCGGTAAGGACGGTTACGGTGCCTTTGCCTCAACGTCCACTGGTTAGGGTTAAATCAGTTTATGGGGTGAGCTCCTTCATGGGGTACAAAATGGTTTGGAATGATCACGCCTGTATTGCAGACATACAAGATCCAAACCTACCAAGCTGCTTCAACAGTAGATATGATTTCGTTCTCACGAGAGGTGTGCAGACTCACAGTCTTGGTGGGTCACAAGTGGTGTTACTCTTATCGGTTATTTTGGTTCCTTTCGTTCAGGTCGGCCGTAGGGAGAACTACGTGTTGGCGCAGCCATGGGGGGCTCCACGATTTCTGGGTCTTACGACACCCCAGCCCTCCCCGACCAGCTTCGCAGTTGATCATATCTCAGTGTTTCCCGAGCGCTAAGTTGCTGCTACATAAGCATTAACCTTGCAGCGGACCGAACTGTTTGTTTCATCCACCAAACTCATCTTGGTCGACGCCATTGTGATTCGAGGAAATCGTCCTGACAAAGGTTGGGGACATTGAACATTTGTCAAGGTCACCCCCACATGTTTCCCGTTTACTCTACAGGCTGTAGTGTTGCCGGTGGACGCACAAACAGTGCAGCTGTAGTGCTGCTCGTGTGCATCGTACGTTGTAGCTGGGCCAACAAGTCGAACCCAGCGCACTCTCAACGTTCTACTGCACAGGCGGCTTGGTGGTGTGCCTTGATGCTCCTACACAACTGACAACAAAACCCTCAATGTTCGAGTGAACTCACCTGATCTTGAATCTCCCCCAGATATGCATGATCCAACAAGCGATTGAGTTTCACCCGAAAGGCGGCGGATGCCCTCGCAATGTCGCTCTCGGCTGTGTTCGAGGCGCACGGCACTGCACACAAAAACAAGTTTTTTTTCATAGCTCTGCTTTGTACTGTAGCAGGGTGCGGTAACCCTAGGCAGAAGAACTGGGAGGCTAAGTTCTCGGTTCGATCAGGGTCATTTTGTGCCTTCCTCAGTGCCAAAATGAGTAGATAGTGACTTTCACCGGGCTACCCTGGGACAAGAATTGTTTGGCCTTGCCACCGTGAGCTGTGGTCGAAAAGACAAACTCAGCAAATACAACGCTGGTCTTCCACTCAATTGTGCATGCGGTAGCGATTTTCTAAGGATCCAAGCTACAGTACTTCGATGGCAAGAAAAATCAAGCACTAATGGGAGATCGAATCTCCGTGGGATGAAGTAAAACCAAACGAGTCACCTGACCTGAACTGCACGACCCTGTAACGTACTGGCTCATGACGCGGCCGAAGAGTCGTGCAACTTTAGCCCTCAGTTTTTTTGCTATGCCCTGTCGCAGCTTCCTGTTGAGAGGGGCAAATACAACGATGGTGGTAAGCACGCACTATGAGAATACCCGAGTAAGGGTCCCTGTGGTGATATGTCTAACCGTTCATCAGCGGTGGTAATTCGCTCTTATTGTATTGTAATTTGGCGAGAAATTGCCAAGCGTAGCCGACGTTGGTCGCCTGTGCTAGGTATAAGAATGGCCGAGTGTGAGCGTGAGCCTCGGGAAGCCTCGGGGGCACCCTTTCACCCTCCGGCTGGTCACAGCAGGCAGAGGATCTTTCTTTGTAAACATCTTCAGACCCCTAGAACACCATTCGTAGGGTTTCGGATCTTTACTGGTTGTACTTGGGTCACTACCAAGATACCAATATCCTGTAATCCAAATAGTAAAGTAGTAATGAACAGTAGTCTAGACTATTTTAAGTATGCGATACAACTGCTGTACATGTCTAGACTTTAACTCGGCAATAGTAGCAGAGGTCGGGAAAACTGTGTACCGCGAGAGGCACGGCAGGGCAGCTGTGCACTGCAGGCGGCTACCACCACTGACGTTCAGTAGGATCTAAAGAGCCTCACTCGTTTTGCTGCCGAGAGAAGCTTGGCTCGCGTAGGTCGGCCAGTAGGTCTTCGAGGGCCAAACCACCCATTGCCCCCACGACTTCAGCGCGCTCTCTGAGCTGCTGCTCCTGTTCCGCCTGCTCCAAGCGTTTTTTCCCCTCATCAAGGAGCTCCTTGAAATCGTTCTTGTTCGGTTCTCGCGTGTCTGAACATTCATTGCCCATATCTTGCCCGCCAGTGGGTAAAAAGGCTTCCCACGGAAGGAGCTTGTGTAGAGGGGCGGAGTTTGTAATGTGGTGTACGGTCTTCTTGCTGTGTTCTCGGACCACTCTATATGTCTTGTGCGATTTCGCCAGCAAGCTTTTCTGGCTGATATCATAGTCATCGTCCTGGTGCTCTTCGCCCTTCCTGATACGGATACTACGTGGCATGTCCTGGCACGCGGTGAAATCGCATCGATCGGTATTCCTTGATGGCCATATGATAGGCACGCTGGGAACGGGATCCCCAACTGCGAGACGTTGTGCACTCTCTTTTATTTCTCCAACATAGCAATCGAAACGATTGTCGTCAGCAGCTCAATCCACAGGCCAGCTCTGTGTTGGTTGGTAATTATTGCACGTCTGAGTGACGCTAACACACTCATGAATGGTGAACGAAGGACGAAGACGGCCGACACGCCGACAGCGTCGAAAAGGGCGGTTTCATCCAAGAGTCAATCAATACCTGCCCTTTAGGAAACCCCACAAATAATATTTCGCGGACCCCCTTGTTGCCCCGCGACAGCAGTTACCACTGTCTGCTGTGCCCGGAGGCAGTACCTGTGCAGTGTAGTACTCACCACCACGCGGTCCTGAGGGCTCCGCGACCATACATGGAGCAGCAACAGCACGACCCGAGGGCTTCTGAAGAAGGATGGTGTTATGCCAATTTCGTTCGACACAGCCCAACCGCAGCACGCACCGTAGAGACTCTCCTTCGATACTCCGGCTTCTTCGCACCGGTGAGGCTCTGTACAGCTGCACTGCTACTGATGCTGCAGTCACACGAGTGCACAGAGACGTGAATGGTATATTCTATGCACATGTAGTTTCACGTACCACACCTCATAACGCAACGATACAGGTTTGATACAGGTTTGATACAGGTTTGACACGCAAGGAATAATCTTGCCGGCAGTGGTGTACTGCTGTATTCAAAAATTGTGCACTAAACGGCGGACAGCAGACAGCTGTGAATTAGTCGCATGTACAGCACGGCAGACGTTGGACTCGTCACCATCAAATGGTAGAGCCTACAAGGTCTCCAAACCCATCCAATCAAAAAGACGCCATTGATCTCACCCCCCTCGCCAGCACAAATCGGTGTTACGTCTTCCAATCCAATCCGCACCATACCGCCTCACGCTCCACCCGAAGGCGCGCTTCGCCGACAGAGATCTTTCCATCGAGTCTGGCTATGCGCTGTCTAGCCTTGCCGCCTTGGCGCACGACCAAATCTTGCTACACGGACAAGGAGGAGGGCTTGTCCGTGGGGGACAGGACGGAGGGGCCGGCAACGATGATGGCCTTGACGGTGGCCAAGTACACGCCCTCGGCATCACGCCGGGATCAAGCATCCGTCTCGATCCCAAAAGCCGGTGAGAAGAGAATACGATGGTATCCTGGGAACGGATAAAGCTGTAGTTCCGAGTTGAAAGGGGGAGCATGTTGGTTTGTGTAATAGCCCATTTTTACTGGCCACGCTCCCAAAAAGTGTTTGGAGGACAGGGCTTCCGCGCTCCTGACGCGAGCTAGCTGCCTGTGGCATGAGAGAAGCTCGCAAACATGCTCCCAGGCAGCGCCGCATTCTCATTGTTTGCTCGCCGTCGCCAGCTCAGAAACTTGCGAAGCGCCACGTTTTTCGATGGATATTTGAGCAATCTGGTCGAACCGAAGGCGGTATGGCACGCTGGCGTTATTTCAAGATTTTCCCGTGTGGATCAGGGGTTCGATGGGTTGGTGTGCTTCTGACTCGCTGAGTTCGGCGAAGTAACCCGGTGTCTGCGCCTCTTGTAACTCCGCTCCCATCTGTTTTTTGCGATTGTTCGACTTATCTGTTGCCCAGAGGGAAACGATCGTCGACGGCCGTCGTCGCCCAACGCATGCGCGTAGCCCTGGCCATGATCGCGAACGTGCAGATCGTGGTGGAGAAGCTGGCCGCGCAGCACGGAGGCCCGCGAAGGAGACGACAGGCAATCGTCTACCTGGAAACTCTCAAGGCCTTGGCCCGACTGCTGCTACTCGCGTGCACGAGGGAAATGGTCATGGGAGGAGGCTCGGTGAGGCGCCCCTATATTTTACCTTGGGTTTACATGTGTAGCAGCTCCTTACTGTGCAAACTCGAATGCGATCCCCCGGTCTGTTTTGGTCCGTGTTGAGGCATGTAGATATTGACGTGATTGCTCGAGACCTGAGACGCTCGGGTGCGGCTGTGAACGGACAACCCGGAGCGCGCGTCTCTCCGTTGTTCGGCTAAGTTTTGTTGAGGATCATCGCCATGGGGCTCATTTGCAACACAAGTGCTCGCTGATTGGTGCTTGAAAGCTGGTCCCATGGTGAAGATCTTGGGCCAACAGATACAATGCTCGCAAAAAGACATCCGATTTATTATCCTCGATCATCCCTCGATGCACTCATTGTCGTATTCCTTTGTGCTGCACCCGACGGCCGCACTTGTCGTAGTACGTTTCGGGAGGGAATCGGAGTACTCCGCCGCGCGGGAATCGGAACAAAGCCGGCGCCTGGAGAGAGGTCGACCTCAACGGAGGCCGATTAGATCAAGCGCAATCCTCTAAGTTTGCGGTCGACCGCCCCTCGTCGCCTCCCTGCCCCCACCCCGAGGTGTACACGGGAAAGCGGAGCGGCGTGAAGCTGATCGTCCCACCGCGAGCGAGCGTGGTGTGGAGCGGGCGAGGGCGTTCCAACCGGTCGGGCGGGGTCAACAGGGTGGCGGCGACCGCTTCCTCCCCCTCCTGTGGCAGCTCTCGACGAAGCGCCGACGGAGCGTTTCAGAACGATATCAGCAGTAGTAGTAGTTTCCGGGGCTGCGCTAACGGTGGGCAGGGGAGTGGTACAGGCGGGTCGATGGAAGCGGCCAGCGATGAACCGTGCTTGTGGCGACAACGACGGGATGCACAGGGAGGGCAGGCGTGGCTGATGGCGGGAGAAGTGATCCACATCCTGCGACCGCTGGCGTACAGCTACGGCTGCGCGGCGACGGGAGAGCGGTCCTGGCGCCCGTGGCTGATTTCTCTGGGGATGGACGCTGCGGCCTTCGCTTTCACCGCGAAAGCAGGAGGCAGCAGCGGGGCGATGGCCCTGCTGACGCCGATCGGAGAGACGGGTAGCAGCGGCGTGCCGGTGCTGCCGTACTTGAACGAGGAGCAAGCGGCCGAGCTGAGGCGCCGTAAGATGCTGTGGTTCCTGTACCTGATGCGCTCGCCAGCGTTTGAGCTGCTGGCCGAGCCGGTCAGCAGAGGCGCCTCCGGTGTGTTTGAGGGGGTTCCGATTTTGGGTAGCATGGCGGGCTACGCGCTGAATATGCTGCTGTACGTTCAGCGGCATCACTTCTATACATCAGCGTCTTAACCCTTGACTACTTCTGTTATGCGGAAGAGTGTGATTCAGAGTTCAGTGACGACTTTGTCGTCTATTTGTCTGTCATGTACATATGTTTCTTGTCTGTGTGGGCAGACAATATAGACTTGTGATCAACCCGTGCAGGTGAAAAGCATGTATGTGACGCGTACGAACTACGAAGTATGTTTTTGTATCATGTTTTCGCCAGACGATTTTGAGGTCTTGTTTCCGGTGAGGGTAGGGTCAGGCATGATGTCGCGTGCAAGTGTTGCGCGCCACGTAAACAGATAAACCTCTCGAACATAGCACAGGAGTATTGCCCTCGGTTCAAGCACGGGAGTACAGCCCTCGGTTCATCGCCAGCCCGCTCTTGTTCTTTTCCCCGCGAGGCTTTTTCATGTGTGTAGGCGAACCTCTCGCGCTGGAACGTTGCGAGAGAGAGCGAGAAAGGAGTTGGAATTCATCCACGAAATGGCACGTTACTGCCGTGAGGTGCTGCTGCTAGACTCGCACTGACACGGAGTGAGAGGAGACCGAAGAATGTATAGTCGTGTATGCATGGATAGATCAAATACAATTTCACGTCCTCGCTCCTGTTTGACGAGCAGAAATTGTTGTAGTAAGGCGGTTTCTTACTGTTTGAAAAATATCAGTTGAAAATTGAAAATTTCAATTCCCAGATCCGACTCGGAAAATCGCACTCAAAAATAGAGCAGCCTTCTTACGGATCAACGGAATTGGAAACGCTAAAAACAGGGGGGCGGGGGGGGGTCACAATTACACCCCCGCCAGACGACGCAATATCATGCCGCTAGTGGAACCACTGCTGCTGCAAGGCGCGAACAACTACTCCGATGCGTTGCTGCGGTCGATACTCGGTTGCGACAAGGCGACAGCGAAAAACGTGAATATCCTTCAGAACGCGGCCATCTGGTATGCGTGCTCCGTGATCAAGCGCGCGAACGGCTCCATGGGAAAGGAGGGCAGAGAGAAATGCAGCACAGCATCCCCATAGGATACCGAGCGTGCTGTGCGCCGGTNGCAAGGCGCGAACAACTACTCCGATGCGTTGCTGCGGTCGATACTCGGTTGCGACAAGGCGACAGCGAAAAACGTGAATATCCTTCAGAACGCGGCCATCTGGTATGCGTGCTCCGTGATCAAGCGCGCGAACGGCTCCATGGGAAAGGAGGGCAGAGAGAAATGCAGCACAGCATCCCCATAGGATACCGAGCGTGCTGTGCGCCGGTGACCATCCTCCTCTTGGATCTGGTGCAAAGCCGCCAACGCGACTGACAGCACTGTTGCTTCCAACAGATCGTCGCGCGTCCCCATATCGGGCGCACCGCGTTGACAACAAAGCACCGGGTCTGCGCGTGTGAGGCGCTGTGCTAGGCTGTCACGCGCTGTGCTGTGCTGTGCTGTGCTGTGCTGCTTTGTGGTGCGCTGTTGTGCACTGTCGGGTGCTTCCAGCGACCAAAGCAGGTGTGGTGGGGGATCTGTGTGATGCACGCCCCCCCCCTAGGTTTGGATTTCCAACTAGCTTTTTCAACTCGGTCGCGACTTGAAAATTTCTGAAATTTTCAACTGTGCAGAGCGTTTCCATTTTTTTTGGCCCGAGTTGAAAATTTATTTCTCAAAAAAATCGATTTCCCGAACCGTCAGCTCTGTTCGACTGGGAATCAAAAATTTCAATTTTTCAACTGGAATTTTTTACAGACCGTAAGAAACGGCGTAAGCGCGTGCGGGAGACATGCGAGAGGGAAAAAAATTGTCGACGCTATTTTTGTGTCGATTTGTTGTGGTGCAGCTTCCGGCAATGATGTCCACGTACCATGATGCCTTCGATGAGGCCGACAAGAAAGAGCACATGGAAAATAAGGAGTTAAAGTCAAAATGTGTGTGTAGAACATATAGAAACAATTCAAACTGCCTGCCCACTCAAGGCACCACATCACGAAGGTGTTGCGGGGCTCAAGCTCTGCACCCCTTTGAACGGAAAAGAAACCAAATCTGTCTGTACAAAATCCTTGCCGGCACCGCCATTGCAAGTTGTTTTTGCAATGGAAAACACAAGGGAAACACTTTGCCAATACCAAAGCCCCGGAGGCTGGGTACGAGCTGTGAGTACAGTCCAGCGTCCAACACCGCGCGCTCAACTCCATTGCCTTTTCAAGAGCGCGCGGACTCCCTCTTTTGAACACTCTGAAAATACAATCACCCGCGCCGCGTCCAAGTAGTAGATGACGAACCAAGCTTGCACAATTCCGTAGTCGTCCACGCTCTCACGACGACCTACAAGCGGGCCCCAACACGGGAGGGGGCGACCCGCTCACAGGCATCTTGATGGGTCTATTCAACAAGTCGCTGACCTTCCGCATGTGCGTCAGCCTGCCCACGATACCCCGCAGCAGCGCTATCTTCTCCAGCCTAAACACAGACAACATCAGCCGCCGGTCCGTGTCCAACCCGAGCCCGTCGAGGTCTCCGTCCAGGCCTGGGGCGGCGGGGTCTTCTGCGAGGGCGGCGGCCACGCCGGCCTTTCCCCAGTCGTCCGCCTCCCGCGCGCTGTACCGCATCAGCAGCTCGAAGGCAGCGTTCTCCGAGGCGAGCGATATCGGGGCGGTGAATCGCGACAGGTCTGCTTCCGTACCGTCCCAACTCAGCTCCGACTCGCCGCCTGCGCTGAGGCCAGCTGCCTCGCAGGCGACGATGCGCACGGCCTGCATGGTGGCCGGGTGTACCGCGTCGCGCAGGATGACCCCTCGTCGGAGATAGCGCCACACGTTTCTCGCCGCGGGGCAAGCTAGCAGCCTGCTTGACAGGTCAGCCCCTAGCAAACCGTCCTGCCGTCGGCGAACGATGGGTGCGAGCCGAAGCCGTTTTTATTATTCGTCGGAGGTCAGGTGTGTACATTCGGAGCCAAACGCATGCCCTATCGAGGACTGTGAAACTCGAGTTCAAGGATATCAACGGTAGTTCTACTGGGGCGATGCGAGGATTTGGGCGGGCGATGCAATTCCTGAAGATGTTTTTCTTGATCGGGAACGAGGTTTCAAAGCACCCTCCAGCGGTAGGGCGCCGCTCCCCTTGTACATGTACCTGCGGTTACTAAGCTTAACATAGGGTCTAAATAGTTCAGGATTTGCTACACGTATACATTCTCCCTCACAACACAAGGTTACAGTCTACGAACGACTTTGCAACACTAAATCAAAGGACAAGAATGTTCTCTCGCCACCGACTGCCCCATCTCCCCCTCCCCCCAACCCCTCGACAAGACAAGAATCACCAAACTCCAGTGGATAACGCATGATGTCTCCATGTACAAAAAGCACGAAGGGAAGCCGTGAGGGAAAAATACGACTACATCTGCTTGCTGATCCCATACATGTAGCAGACCACATGGTTGGCAAAGCTAGCAAACTCACCTCTCGAAGCCACTTTCCCATATCCTCCAGGACATATGTGTCCGAAGGGTTATCTCGTTCCACGAAGCCGTAGTACTGCAGCAGGTCGTCGTTCGACACTGGGCCGTACGACGCGAACGCATGGTCACCCGGGTCGAACGCAGCACCCACTGAGGAGAACCAAGCGCAGCGAGGGGTGGAGGTAAGTGGTCTGCTGCGTGTTACTCTAAATCCGCGCCAAATATTCATCGCGGCTAGGAGCACAGAGTGTCTGAGGGCCAACAACAGGCCAGAAGAAAATAAAATGACGTTGGGGTGGTAGACGCCGCAAGAACTCATCGCCCACGGATAACCGAGCCCCTTGGTCGCTTCCCGAGCCTTGCCGGAATCTTCAAACGCGGACCAACAACATCGGTCGAGGTACCAGACGCAACAAAATACAGCATCCCTCGCGACAACAAGTACAACATTCGGACGTTCCACGCTAACCGACTCAAGACCCGTCAACAACATTCAACCTTCACCCAACAACACACCATGAAGATCCGTCCAACGCACCCCACCTGATAAGCTAAGGGCGCCGTCAGCCTCCCAGTACATATGCGTTGGCATGCGGCTGTAGTGGTTGATCGAATCGATGAGGGGTAGCAGGGCCATTGTCATCTCGTCGGGGGCAGGCGGCGTCACCTCCGGCGCCTTCACGGGGACATCATCACCTTCCTCAACCACCAGCGCGGCCGCTCCCCGTGGCGGAAGCTGGAACGCGCGACTCAAGACGCACTCCAGGGCCCAGCTGAACATGGCAGGGTCTGCCAACGCGCTTACCAGGCGATTGACGCAGTCGCCCTCTCTCGTGCTGGGCGCGTTGTCGCCACGCCTTGCATCCGCCAGCAGAACCTTCCGGAAGCCTAGCGGTGGCGAAAGGCAGAGCGGTTGGTTGATTCGGAGGTGGTGAATTGTGCTACAATTCCCAGTGCGCAAGGGATCTCGAGGTACAAGTGTTTCCGATCGACGCTTGTGGTCAGCATCGAAAGACCGCTGCCACGCACTACTCTTACGAGCAACAGGGTGCTTGCTGTCTCTCGATGAAATAACAAATATGTGCCCCCGTCGCAGTCGCGCACTGTTCAGCACTTTCGTGTGGCATTTTTTGTGAGTGTGGGAACGTATCAATATTACCAGGCTACAGGATTCCGGGAACGGTCCACGAAGAACACTCAAGCTCGGCGATCCATGACGAACGGTACTTTCTGTGCTGGGTTGGTACGCTGCTGAGGGCCCCCACGCAACTTTCGTTGAATCATGTGTCACGCAACACTACCTCTCGCTTTCTCAAGAGGTATCGTGCCAACCGGACACAGCAACAGCTCGTGTGGACAGCTGGTGCATCCTGGAGAACACCGCTGCAGGCGGCCAAGTTCAACGGCGTCTTTTCATTTGCAACTTTTACACGTTACTTCGGTTCTTCAACCAATCAAACCGCAGGCTAGAAGAGAAAATGTATCGCCGATGACTTCACACATTACAAGCACTACCCATTGACTGGTGGGAATCCAACAATAATACGGTCTCTGCTCGACAGCACCCTATCTACGCACCGCACCTTCGAACAGACGCCGCTGTATCTTGATCTGTGACAGCAAGCGGGGATAGTACAGCCGATCCAGCTGCTCCGCCGACCAGTTCAGGGGCGCGCCGGTCTCGCCTGGACGAGGCAACATCCCGACGTACTCCTGAAGCCTAGACCCCTCTCCGTCGGCCCTTTCCTTGAGAAGACGTACGCCCAGTCGCACCCACCACGGGCAGCGTTGCCAGGCTTCGACTGACAACGGTGGCGGGGGAGGTAACCGCTGCGTTCGCTCGGTGCCGGCGGCGGCCCCTGCGTCCGAAGCAGCCGCAGTCGGCGAACAAGGGACGAAGAGGAATTCTTCTCGCAGGAAGAGCGACTCGGGAACGGTGGCTATCGGTTGCCATGGTGGCACCGCGACCTTGGTCATTAGTCCTGGCAGGCCGTCGAAGTCGGCGTGGGAAAGGCTGCCGCTGCTGCCCCTGCACCCCGCTCGCGCCGTCCACCCTTCGAAAGCTTGGACCGCTGGTTCGTGAGGTGCTCGTTCGCACCCCGTCGGAGGCTCGCCAGCCGCCTCGTCAACTTGTGCGGCTGCTCCTGCTGCTGGTTCATCGGTTGCTGCTGACAATGCGGAAAGAGGGCGTCGTCGCCGTCCAGCGCTTGGTGGTGCAATCTGCCCACATCGCGATGGGGGTATCCTGGCGCGTGCGGCGGACGCGGCGCGATTCCTTCTTTGAGTCGCGGAGCATTTGCTGCTGGATGATGCTGCTGGGGAACGGCAGAGTGAGAAGCCCACCGCGGGATGCTGGTACGAAATCGCAAGGGTCAGCAACAGTAAAGAAATGTGCTGTGTCATCCCTGTCCCTGCTGCCGCCTGTCTATCCTGCTGTCTTCGAGAGCAAAGCTGAGAGTCATGAGTGAGCTGCGTGAACTACGGAACATGTTAACATGTTGATGCATGATGACCCCCCCTGTCCGGCCGGTTTCTCGTCAACAGACCCCCTCTGGTCCGCCCTCTGATTTGTATTATGCACATGACACATGCTCCTGCTCGCCTCCCAGCAACACCGCTTCTATTCCCCTGAGCCGCGTACTACTGACCTTCCCTTTGGCTGCTGGCGCCTCATCTCTGTTGTTGCAGATAACGCGCTTCAAGCGGCGGACCTCTCTCCCCGCTTGTGAAAACGTGAACACGCACGTACACACCCCCTCCTCGTTCCCCGAGGGTGCGGGCCATGGCTGCGTCGGAGGGTAGCGATCGATCAGCACTGCTGGCTTCGAGGGCTGCGAGAAGACGCGGCATTGCTGTCTGTGGTGGAGGAAGGAGTGCGGTTAGCATGGGGCCTGGCGGGCAACAGCGGAGGAGGCGACCCTCCACCTCGACAAGGAAAGCTGTGGCTGCTGCCTCTTGGACCTTGCTGGTGCTTGGCCGCCGCGTGGGTGCGGGATGGATCGACCCCGACACGCCGGAGGCGGCCAAGACCATCCGCTCGCTGCATGATGGCGCGGAGTACGAGCTGATCATGTCCGACGAGTTCGAGGTCAGCGGGCGATCGTTCGACGACGGGCACGACCCCATGTGGACGTCGACTACCCACTCCGATGACGCGCAGACGTCCAACGGGCTCGGGTCGCAGCAGTTCTACAACTCGTCCTACGGCACGACGACCAAGGGGAGCATGAACATCACCACCACGGACGAGTCCACCACCTGGCGAGGCTACAACCCCTACAAGCGCAAGTACGAGACCCTATCCAAGAGCTACCGCAGCTCCATGGTCAACACCTGGAACAAGTTCTGCTTCACCGGAGGCATCATTGAGATCGACGCCAAGCTGCCGGGGGAGCACAACATCGGCGGCCTGTGGCCGGCCTTCTGGCTGCTGGGAAACCTCGGCCGCGCGACCTACGAGGCCTCCACCAACCTCATCTGGCCCTGGAGCTACGACAAATGCGACCCCAAGTTGCAGCGAGCGCAGGAGATCAGCGCCTGCAACAAGATCAACCACTTCGGGCTGCACGGGTACCAGGGCCGCGGATCTACGGAGATCGACATCCTGGAGGCCCAGCCGGGGACGTCCGACGACCCGCTCATGAACCTCGGCAAGGTCAACAGCCCGTACTTGTCGACGACGCTTCAGCTGGCCCCGGGCATCCCCGTGCACCGGCCGACGAACGGCGAGCTGCTCTCCCCGGAGAATACCTGGTACGAGGGCATGCAGTTCGCGGAAAACTCCTCCCTGAACTACCACTTCTACGGCATGCACGTGGACAAGACGACCCCGCAGGAGCCCGTCTATCGAGGGGCCGACCAGGCCTACATCGCCGACGCGATCTCGGGGCTCACTTCCCTGACGCGCACCCACTTCCACGAGTACCACAACTACAAGCTCGAGTGGGTCCCGCCGCCCCCGACCCGAGGGGACGCAGGGCCTCGCGGGCACCTCAAGTGGTACATCGACGACGAGATGGTGCTGGGCATCGACGCCGAGACCGTCGAGAAGCACGGTACCCAGATCCCGAACGAGCCTTCGTACGTTATCCTCAATACCGCTGTGTCCAGCTCGTGGGGGTTCCCTGACCCATGCCCCTCGGTGAGTTGTATGGGGGAAGGGTTGGCCACACCGCCAGGCGTTTTCCACTCTTTTTTGAGAGTATGGGGTATTTTGGCTATCATTGTCTGCGGCGCATAGATACTGTTTGGTTTGAGTGCGTAGACGATATATGCAGCAGTAGCAGTCGACCACGTTCAGCTTTGTGGCCCTCCAAGGCATGCGTCTTACTCATGAGGGGGGGGTGTAGATAGACCTTCCGCATGCGGTATACAGCTGATTGGCGAGGTGTGGATGCCGTCTCTCCATCTGTTAAATCTCGATGCCGGCTGGTCCGGTCACGTTGTTTTGCCATCGTGTAGTCGCCGATGTCTTGGTGTACGTCTGCCTCCCCGCTGATTGATTATCGTTCGCGTTTTTCGTTGTCGATGTTGCTCGCTTTGCGACCGGCATCGACGCCCCCAAAAATATCCGCAACGGCGAAACCAACGACGGCGAAAACAGGGATGCGATTGCGCCTGCTATGATTGCAAGGACCCGGCGTGCCACTGCGCCATCCCGAGCGGCTTCTGCAACATGCTCCCTTCCTACTTCATGATCGACCACGTGAGTCACCCAGTGCTTGTGCCTTGTTTTTTCCCGGCGGTGGTGTTGTTCCCTGTGATGCGATCTAGGTGTTGAGTATTTGTTGGGGGTTGCTGTAGTGCCGGGTACCATGGATCGGTGTACGTTGGACGGAAGGGGGTGGTATACTGCTGTCCGTATGCATTTTTTTTTTTCTCCCATCATTGGACTCTGTCGTCTGCCCCTCTGGCCCCTATCCTCCACTTCTACTAATAGCTAGACGACCCAACCGGGGTCACACAGGAGGAGGGGGTTGGACCCCCTCCTGCCGCTCCTGCCTGAGATATTTTTATCGCGAGAAGGGTACAGCAATCCCTTCCCTCGCGACTTACGAAGTAGATTATGGTTTACTAACAACGAACTTTGCAGCGCGTCGCTTTCATCCTAGACCAGGATTTATTTGGTGGAAAAAAATACACTCTGCCGGGACTCGAACCCATGACCTGACCCTTAGCAGGCTGCGAGGGGACCCACTAGACCACCGGGGCGACCGGTTTGGCATATGTACGGTGGCGGTTGCCAGATGTGCGCGTAAACTAAGGATGGTCGGTGTCGGTAATATTGCCTCATGTCGNAACAACGAACTTTGCAGCGCGTCGCTTTCATCCTAGACCAGGATTTATTTGGTGGAAAAAAATACACTCTGCCGGGACTCGAACCCATGACCTGACCCTTAGCAGGCTGCGAGGGGACCCACTAGACCACCGGGGCGACCGGTTTGGCATATGTACGGTGGCGGTTNCCCCCCCCCTTCCCCCCCCCCCCCCCTCCGGCCCCCACACAAGAGCGAGACTGGATACCTCACCCCTCGTCGTGTTAACGTATTCCTCGTTTTGTCCGGTCTTGAGTGTTCGATTAGATGAGTGAAAGCGAAACCAAATCACTCGCCACACACAGCGCCGCTGGCAAATGAAAGTACCCATCCGAATACCGCGGTACAGTAGCGGCTACGGTTCAAGAGAGGGTCGGGACAAGCCAATTTCCCTCTCTCAAATCCGGCTTTCCTTACACCGTCTTTGCTACGGTGTGAGATAATATTCTCTTGAACCATTGTCGCTGTAACAGAATGTTCTCTTGTATCGGGCAAAATCGAAAGGCCGTCAAAGATGGATGCTCCTCGTCCCAACTGTATGCCGTAAGAGGTCATGAAGAGCGTACCATTCATGTCACGTAACGCAGCAGGCGTCAGCACCTTGGACTAGCACCAAACAAGACCCACTCTGTTGGTGCCTGTATTAAAAAAAAAACATGGTGTCGTGCGATACATTTGTTGCACGTGGATGAACTCTGTAGTTTGTTGAGTTGTACATAGCTGCGCTCGTTGCTCACACCTCTTCCAGAAGGACAACTTTTTCTTTTTTCTTTTTTTTCTTTTTCTTTTTTCTCCACTTCAAATCAGCGCTCACAGCACTGGTGCCGTTTACTCCAACCCGTGGTCACACAGAAGAGCCCCTCTCTACCCCCCCCTCCTGCGGTACTTTGCCTTCGATTTTATTGCGAGAAGAGTTCAGCACTCTCTTCCCTCTGTGTACACACGAGCTAGCGCTATCCACTAGGCCAGGAGCGGAAGCGAGAGAAAAAATCAAGAAAAACTTGCTTACGCCGGGATTCGAACCCCTGACCTGACCTCTAGAAGGCTTCGAGGTTATCAACTAGACCACCAGGGCGACACGAGCCTACGGATGCACCAGCACCCAAGCAAAAATCCACTCACTCACCCGCTGAACCACTCCTACCCCGCCCATCCCCTGCACACAACGCCCACAACCCTAATCACATCCATTTCGAGTCCCTTGCGTGTTGTCAGGGACAACTGTGCATCGACTGCCCGCTGCGCAGGGCATGGCGTCTGCAGCTGTGTATGTGTGATGCGTGATGTCCACGTGGTTTCCAGATACTCGATTTAAAAGGAAGTGTCAGAAATATAGATAAATTCTCTTTAATCCGGTTTAACAGAACATGTATCTTAAAGACGTACTTTCTCTTGAACAGTTTCCATTAAACCGTAGCCACTACTGTAGATGTTTTTCAATGAAAGATACGGCTGTCAGCGAAGCCTGTGAGTTGGAAGCGCTCTGCCCTCTTTTTGCCCCAAGACTTAGCGCGTTCGTTCATGTACCGGCTGGGCGCAGTGTTTCTTCGTCATCTGGTGGTAGATGTACAGGCACCCCAGCGGCTGTTCTTTTTCGTTTTGAGCTTTGGGAGTATATTCGTAGATGCCGCGCGGGCTCGACACGGGAACATGCGGAAGCAAGGTGGTCTCATGTGCTGGGTGTTGAAACTCACGTTCATATCTCCCCTGACTCTTTTTGTTTTTCAAGAAATCGCCGAACCCCCCGCGCGGTGCCAGAATTGCGGAGGGAGTCTAGCGTCCTTCGTTTGGAGCATACGGCACTTCCCTCGGGATTTATTCCATAAGATCATGTAGTGGAAATAATGAATAGTGAGGTCCGCCTCAGCACGTGACAAAATTGTCCGCGTGGCCGTGCGCTGTCGTCAAGCAGACATGGCTCTTACCGGCAGGCTTCTACCCTCGTGTAGTGTTGTTTAAGTACCTCTGCCGACGTGCGTTACAGTCCCGTTTCATGTCGTTTTTGTTGATGTACATTGCGTAGGGATGTGTGAGTTTTTTTTTTTATCGTCGGTGGTGTCTTGTCAATTCCAACGCGGCGTGACCAACACACGAAATGTCTGTAGAGCACGTCCTGCGTGTCCTCAACCGTGCTTCCGTGTCACGGCCGTGTGTCCCGTCTGTCTATTCGCATGTCCGTCTCCCCAGGTGCGTGTTTACCAAAACAAGAACGACAGCAGTATGTCCATAGGGTGCGACATTCCCTCCCACCCGTCCAAGCTGTTCATCGAGGCTCACAGGTACCGGTACATGAGATCCGGAGACAAGAAGCCCCTCAAAGATCTGATGGTGGGCGGCGGGAAATGCAACGACGAGACCGGCTGCCACCGGGGGAAGTGCCACTGGGGAAAGTGCAAGTGCGAGGAGGGGTGGGTCGGACCGCTGTGCCAGTCCACTCACAAGTTTGACGACATCAGCTACGAGGAGCACGTTGACCTCTCCCCGAGGCCCATCGCCGTGCCGGTGGTGCTGCAGGCGATCGGGGGCGTTATCGTGCTGCTGGTGCTGGGGATGTCTTTCGTGCTAGGAAGACAGCTGAGCAAGACGAAGGGGCAGTACCGCGAAGACTTGCTGCGGAATGCGTCTCCCCTCGCCGGCATGATGAGATGAATAGGTGGATAGGTTGAAGCGCGACCCCGGCACAACAACCTATGCTTTGTTAGTTGTCGCCAGATGACGACATGGGTCACAGCTGTGGCCATGCCGGCCCTCCCCCCCGAAAATGCAGTGTCATTTCATGACCACAAGATGAACGAGGCGGACCCCTCAGAATCACGCAGTATTCATATTAGTTTTGTATTACGAGGGAAGATTGAAAAAGCGGGTGTTCCCTTCGGGATGATGGTGTGACTGGGGTTATAATCACGTCTTCCTGTCGCCCGCGGCACGTACATGTAGTGGTGAATTCTGGTAGTTATCCAACCTATTCAGTCCCTTGGAACAAGGGCAGCAAAAGGGTAGATGAAGATCAAAGGTCCGCTTTTTAGCATTTGTGGGACGATCACACGAGCACTTGCATCAAATTGATTGCATGTTAAAAGGCTGACAATGCCTTAAAGAAGCGGCGTGGTGGGCTGTTGTTTTGTGAGCTAAAGATCGCTGACATTGCAGTTGCTATGACCATATTCACCATTGCTTCCCCGACCTCCGCTTCGGTCCTGGACCGTGGGTATCTTGAGTGCTTCAGATTCCAACAAGACTCGCGCCGCTGCCACCCTGAAGGCAGGTTGTATCTCTGCTGAAGTGAGATGTATACCAAGTGTATCTGTGGAGGTGGGCTTTTACAAGGTTCCATCTCCCCACAGCGTCCGTCAAGAACGATTCCCTCTTTCTTTTCACAAACCAGAAAAGGCTCAGCAAAAGGAAAAAGGGGGGGGGGGAGTTCGCGGAAGGTGGCCATTGGAAGGTCTCATCTCCCCAACGGTTGTTTCAAGGACGATTCCCTCTTCTCTCCGTTTTTTTACATCGCGCACAAATATTGCGCACCCCGCAAAACGTGCGATTGATTGTACGTGGCAATTGTAGGCAACACGGCAGGCTACGAAAGACCACCACCAAAACTGTGACGACACGGCCGCGGGTGCCAGAGCGAAGAACGCACCAAAATACTGGTCCAAACAACAAACTGGTACTACTCTTCTCTTGCTTGTGTCTGAGGGATTCCCGCCTGTAAGGTCAAAGTTCTTTTTCGCGCGATTCCGCCACGGACAAAACATTAGGCAGACGTGGTGGGCAGCAACACGTGCAGCAATGAAACAGCGACCATTGTCTGCACCAGCCTGGGCATGGGGGTGGGGGGGGCTAGGTTAGCCAACTGCCGGCAAGGGATGGTCTGCGGTCAACAGCCAGTCAGCCTTGCCCCTCCAGATCTGAAAACATCGAAAACCATGATATCTCAATGGCAAACAATCATGGCCTCTGCACTCCTCGAACATTAGTCTACGTAACGCAGGAGGTGGTATTTCCTGCCCCGCAACAATCTCAGTGTTTTCTTTGCTTTTCCTGCTCCTTGATCTTCTTGTTCCATTCATCTCTGCCATCAAAGCCGTTTGCGGTGCTCCCCTTCTTGTTGTCGTAGTATGACCAGGCGGCCTGCGACAATCAGGGAGGAGGGATGTTGCCGCGAAATGCGCAAGCACAGGGAGAGGGTCAACTAGCGCTCGGGCGCTGTTCCATGCAGCTGATATGAGGCGACATGTGTGTCAATTACAAGCAACAGTGGCAGGCGGTAAATACGCGGAGTGGCAGAGAGTGATGCATACACCCTCCAAGGGCTTCGCACTCCTACTAATCTACTACTGTTGTGGAACCCAGAACTCCCACCGGTGTACCAATACCGGTGTATGGGTGTTCGCGACGTACGCACGGAGAGCGTTGGAACGTGACGGCCTACAAAACCTGAGGCCCACCGTGATGTCCGGTAGAGCTACCGCGATCGAGTCGACTATCGAGTCTGCGGCAGCGCCGATGTCCGAATACACTTTTCATTCGAGACTACAGATAGCGCCCGTACCTAAGAACTTAGCAGTTAAGAAATTGAGACTCGAAAAAAGGCACAAGCTACGAACTTGAGCACCATTTGTGAGCCCGGTTAAGAACCCCTACACTAAAATCTATCAAGTGGTAGCCCGCAAGAGGGTGATCAGCAAAACAAGAGCCCCAGCCTCGGCCGAAACCAGAGGTTCTTAAGTGTGGGCGCCATCTGTACATCTATCTGTGAGACCCATCAATTCCGTCACGAGGTGCGCAATTATGTTTTTTAGAGATGGAACAGACTAAGTCGACTACGGGCACCGCCGTGTCACATGCAGCAGTTGAAGTTACGTACCAGTTACCGGAAGAAAGTGCGGGTTCATGCAAAGGTGCAACCACTTTCGATACTCTGTAAACTACAAGAAAGCGTGCAATGGGCTGCTGCCGATGCTGCGGCGTGGCAACAGCAGCAGTGGCCACCACTGATACGCTGTAACTGCGGTTGTTGGAGGCCGCACCAGACACCTCCACGCGCCTGTTGCCGCATACCACAAAACGTGGCGCGGTAAGGCATTTTTTTTCGGAAAAGCCACAAACAAATATCGCGCTGAGAGTTCAATACAACAGCAGGCGTACGTTTATTGGCGCCACAATACTCGTAACACGGTTAACAACGGCGTGCGCCGCGGCGGTGCCACTCGCTCCTGACTACAGATCAGATAGAGCTAGGGGAAGCGGCGGAATTAGCTTTTTGATTGCTGTGCTGGCTCTCACTCACCATCGCTGCACAAGCCACCCCCCACGCAAGCATGGTCTCCTTGCTCTTGAACACCCTCATGCTTGCCTGGCAGGGCTTGCGCACGCGGCCCTTCCGGCTTACCGAGCGCGTGAAAACAGCAAGTTGGCAGTGATCTGAGGCAGTCTTTGGCAGCCAACAGGGGGACAAGCGTAAGAAGCGAAGAACCGCATACCTCTGTGGCTACGACGTCGGAACCCCTTCTTATTTCGTTTTTTTCTTTTTTTTCCTTTACTTCGTCAGACAATCTGTCGCTTTTTTGTCTGTGTCCTTCAACCCAACCAAAAAAACCCTGACCGCAGGTGATGAGCCGTTGGTCCCTCAGCCCTCGGATGATCGGGTGAATAGGCGGTCTCTCCGGAGCAGTGGGTGGGGACCGTGAGGCATCATAGGACAGAACAGTTCTCGGAGAAAGAGGAGACGGATTTCTGGAACAGAGGGGAAGATGATGGAAGCGACAGAGCGAGGCGTGCACAGCCGACACAACAACGCTCCAGCGCTGACGTAGAACCAGTCTGACGGCGGTTAATGCGACTGGCATGTTGAAGATGTCCAGTGGACCGGGTATCTCGGAACACACACACGCGACTTTTCCCGCCGCACTGAGACTGACGTCTTTTCATTGGTCAGCCGGTTAGCGCGGTCGATGCTAATTAGGCCTGTCCTCCATCGGCCGTTTTATTTTTTCGATTTAGTTACACAAACTTTATTTCTATACTAATTTCAAGTAATTCCACCTTCTTATTCTCCGTCATACAAGCAAAACGGCCGATGGAGGACAGGCCTGATGCTAATAATAAAAGCACACACGCGACGCGCATGTATACGTTGGTAGAACCGGGCGAGATCCGCAGAACTGCTGTGCGAAGGAACAACAGCAGTTAGTTGACATGATCCGTGATTTTTCTCTCGCTTCCGTTCCTGGCCTGGGTAAAAAGCGCTGCAGTAGTACTTCGCGTGTGCACGGAGGGAAGAGGGTGCTACACGCCTTCTAGCATTAATAATCTTTTAGTTTGACTGACGTTGCCGTCGTGTGCCAACAGATGCCAGGCCGACAAGCCAAAAAGATACCAACCGCACGAACAAACTGCAAGTCTCCAGTTGGTTTCAATCCACCTACTGAAGAGACTTCACCACATCCCTTTCGACTGAGTTTATATCTCGAACGGGTACAGCCTTTCTGTGAGGGTGTAATTACTTTCTTAAAACTGTATGCGCAAACGCAGAAATAATCGATATGAACATCCATCCGCAAAGAGAATGCCTACCCTCGTCTTCCAGCTGCCTCCCCGCCCCTGTGTACAGTTTCAGAGGTTGTGCCCCAGCCGAACGAGCTCCTATAGACTATCTATCATCAGCAGGCGCGACGGAAACCGAACAGGCCCGTCGACCAGCATATCTATTTGTCTTTTTAATCATCATCCATGGTGACTGGCGCGACTGGATGCAGATCGTCGACAGCCCATCCATCATCATCAGTCTCTCGATAGTGGTGTTGTACCGTCCGGTCGGGATTAATCTTCGACAGCAGTGCCCACCTGTAGATGATGGGAGGGCGAACGACACATGATCACCGACGACAGCAGTCGATCGAGCGAATCCGTGCCACGCTGTGTTCGGTATTTGCCCAATGTGTAGTCTGGTGATGAGTGAAACGGGGCGCTGTTCCAACTCCCGTGTGCCGCTGTTGTTGTACTGAAGCATGCATAGCACATACGCATTTGTTCTCCAGGCGCCCGCAGCGTGTGCAGCAAGCCTCTTCTCCTCAACTTTCCATTTCTTCATGACATTTGCAATCACTCGTCATCCCGCTTCAACTTGGTGCTTTTTCTGCTTGCTTGGTCGATACCTGTCTGTCCACGATGCATCTGTCTTTACCGCGCGAAGTCGATGTCAGGGGGCTACAGCAGTGTGTGTCCGGATTTTCCGTTGGGGCATCTACTGGTATAGTCTAGACTACAGAAGTTATCTTCTGCCGTACGATTGTAGTGGGGAGGTGAAGAAGAATTAATTCTCCTCGATCGATCGAGTGTGCCTATAAACGTTTCAGAGAGTTCAATTGACGGCTGCTGCTGCTGCTGTGTTCCTCCTCCTTTCGTCAAAACTGCATCTCCTGTTCTCGAAGGCAAATGTGTACGATGAGCAGGAGGGGGACGTCTTGGAAGTATGCCGAGACATCGTCGAGAATGGCCCGGATTTATTCTCCTTACATGGCACGACCTCTTGGATGCTCCGTTCAGATAGAGAATAAGGTAGCAAACACGACGTGCCCGTGTTATCCGTGTGTGTGCATGCTGCCGATCGATTGGTTGTAGATCCACTCAATCCATTCACCGGAAGACGCTGAAGAGCGATTGATTGCATCTGCGCAAGGAGGCCCTCTTTGGCCATCGGACGAGAGAGATTGCCAAATATCTGTGCCAAGAAAAGTAAGCACCAACACTGTCAAGAACGTTCCTGTCGTATGCTAACATGGGAAAAATTGGTGCCCCCGGCCACGAAAGGAGTGCATACCCGAAGGTCGATGTCCGATGGCAACACGTCGGCAAGCACCAAAACGGCCCCCCCACCCTCGTGTCCCCCCCCCCTTTCTAGACTTCAGTGGGTTTGCGCTGTTGGCAAAGCGCTGTACAACACGCCACCCTAAATATAGCCCCCATAGTATGCGCTACCAAAGACGCGTGACGCATGGATGCGTGGAGTGAGGATAGCTTACGGAAACCTCACAGGTTGAGTGATGTAGGAGATTACCGGACTCATAGAGTGATTATAGCTGTATACTGAAAAACCCCAAGGGTTGAGTGAGGTTTGAGACTGCCAGACACATGGACGGGTTGAGTGGGGATAGCTACATACTGAAACCCCACGGGTTGAGCGATATTGGAGTGCCGGACATATAGAAGACGCGTTGAATGAGGATAGACACATACCGAACCTCTCAGGTGATTTGTGATGGAGATTGCCGGACACCTAGACGTGTTGAGTGAGGATAGCTATATACTGAAACCTCACAGATGCATTGGTTTTTGAGTTTGCCAGACACATAGACGCATTGAGTGGGGATAGCTGCATCTTGAAACCTCACAGAT